TAACCGATAAGAGTTGAAATCAATATTTAGTTCCACTCACATCTGAGTACGAGCATTCCTATTAGGGAAAAAAAAACGGTGATTCTAAAATTCAGCCTCTTCCAATGAAAGAACTTCGTTAACATTCTGCAATATATTGACAAAGATTTTTTTCCTCTATTTCTTTTTTTTTTTTTTTTTTTTTTTTTGGCCTGAACAACTCATTAGTTCATTTCGTCCAGTTCTTTATCTTTGCAGTAGTTGTCTGTTCTTATGCACTGCAGTCCGACATTGATCAGATCGCCAGACAGGATTTCTGTGTGTAACGGTACCATGTACCTCTCATATCTAATAAGCATTGGAATTTCAATTTCTAAGGCTAATCTTCTTTGATTCTGAATTAATTGATATCATTAAAAGTTTAAAACATTCTAAATTCCCAGATAAAGCATGTTATGATGAATTATTGCACTTAAATGGTACATCCCTCCCATTAATTTTGCTATCTGTAGATCGGTTTTGGTACATATATCTGATTTTATCAAACAACAGAATTCCTTGTCCTTTTTTCTTTGATATACCCGCCAACTTCAATAATTTCAGTAATTCTGACGTTTATTATCTAACGTGACACGGCTTTATGTACATTTGTTCCTTTTTGGTCACTAGTTCTTAAGACACCATGTCATTTTACAGAGAATATAAAAAAATGTAACATGCAATTTAAAAAAAAAAAAAAATCAGATTAAATCTTCTATTTTTCTTTAAACTCTTGAGCATATAACATGGGCATCCACAGTATAGGCATGTCAGTTATTTCAAAACAGATAATAGTATATAGTAAAGTGTCAATTCTCAAAAACTTTTGCAAGGTTGGAATCTTTCGTAAATAGCAATACAAAGAAAAGTAAGCGACAGTAGAATATAGAACTCACGCCCAATGTAGATTAATTTATACTTTTAAAGAATCGTAAGTATAACTACTGTTTTGTTTTATCTTTAATTTTATTTATTATATAATTGAATAATTCCTTTCTCTCTGATTGGCTGAGATCCAACAATGTAGAAAAAATACTACGTTATATTCACCTGCACGTGACCTTCCAGGTGAATATCTCCACATTAGACTAAAAATAGAATGGGAAATTCCAAATTGATACAAATAGTTTTGGAAGTTATTTCCTTGCACCTGACTTCCTCCTATGAACATAACATTAAGGCACATAGATTCTTGGGTGAGGGTGGGGGTTGCAGGAGGCCTGTCCCTCTCCCCACCTTTTTTGTGAATGGAAAACTTTAATGTTAAATTTTACATATGTAAGGATAAAATTATTCAACGAAAGCTTCCTCCTTCCCTCGTTTATGGACCAAATAAAATTTTGAGTTGGGGGAATTCTTTTGTTGGGGGGGGGGGGGCTAATCAAAGATTTGTTTTCAGGTAATTTGTCTATTTTTTCCCTTATAATGCCCCCCTTTACAAAACCAATCCTATATATATGCCTGACATTTATTTTTTCTATTACATCTAAAATAGAATTAAAAATTCCAAAATAATACTCTCGTTATGTTTGGCTAGTACTTAAGTAAATGTAAACAAGTAAGATATCAATGAATGTATGTCATTTATTCATTGAATCATATAATAAAACAATCATTGTTTTTTTTTTTTTCTTCTTTTTTTTTTCTTTTTTTGTTGTTGTTGTTGTTTGTTTTGTTTTGTTTTTTTTTTTTGGTCAATGCGATGATTTAGCCACCTTCGAAGTACAATATTCACCTCGACCTTCGGACTCGGTGAATATTGTACTCCTCAGGTGTCTGAATCATCGTATTGACCTTAAAAACCATCAATAACTGTATATATTTCCAGCTAATAAAATGCTACAATAATATGCTTCTTCTAAACACGTGTATATGTGTAAGGGTTAAAATAAATGGTCATTTTAAAAGTTCCTTGATTTTTTTTTATATTTATGTATAAGGAGATGGCTAAAATAGGCTATACCTGCTGCCCAATCCCATTCACTGATGTGAATAAAATTATGTATAAATAAAAAAAATATTTTTATTTGATTAGAAAAGCATGAACTTCCACCCCAACCCCGACTTTGCATACAAAAAAGAACTAAACGTGATTGAAGTACACGTGGTAATTTTGCATTAAACGAACGGGTCACGACTCAATCACTGGTCAGTGCTCGTACAAATCTCTAAAAATTAAGCATGAACTGGGAATTAAAAACAATGAATCGAATTGCAAGCTATTCAGGGCTTTCAGTAGTTGAAGGCCACTCGCAATATAACAAAATCGGTGCTTTTATTAATTTTATTTTTTTATTTTTTTTTTTTTGGCATATTGTCAAATAGTTGCTTTAAATGTTGGAAATTTAGTGTTTACAACCAACAACTGTCATATCAAAAATTTTGTATATACCACTATCAATTTTCAGATTGTTAATTTTGTATTTACTTCCACTCACTGTAAATTTTGAATTCCCACCACCGATTGCCAAATTGTAAATTTTGTATTTACATGTAACATTTTTAAATTCTGTATTCATCAGTTTTGTATTTACCATCATGAATTGTCTTTTTGTAAATTCTTGATCTGTATTCACTACCACCAGCTGTGCATTTCAAATGCTGTGTTCATTACTTCCCATTATCATGTTGTAAATTTTGTATGAACTACCACCAACTGTCATTTTGTAAATTTTATATTTACCACCACAAATCGTCATATTGTAAATTTTGTACATAGAATTACTGCCACCAATTGTCAATTAATATTTTCATTTACCATCCTTATTGTATTTAACAGTATTTACCACGATCAACTGCCATGTTGTAAATCAATTGTGCTTTTACCGCCAATTTTCAGTTTGAGTTTTTGTATTTACTAATTACCACTCAGTAAATTCAAGGTTTACATTATGACACAGAGCTTCTTGAAGGTAAGCACGATATTAGTACAGCTTCAATCCAGAGGCCATCATTCTATTTGACAGCTCTACATATAGAAAAACATGTAAGTTTGTACATGAAATATAAATCTTGGGGGGGGGGGGGCTAAATTATAATTTTAAGTGTTTAAAACTCTTTTATAAGAAAGAGATATAATTTCCGAAGTTATTCTACATTGTGAAACTCATTCTACTGCAGATTTGGGTTAAATTCCAATTTTTTAACCTCAGATTTGTATTTATAAATACCAAGCTGTTTACAATACTTGCATATTTACGTCAGCGTAAATTCCACGAATTCATAAAAGATTAATCTTTGAGAGATACCGAGGAGGGCAGTAGCATAATGATTTAATTTTTGCATTTTATTTAGATATAGCACTATAACTTAAATGTTACTTTGAATTATTTTTGGCGAAACAAGGAAGAAAATGCATTTGTTTTATATTAAGTAAAGGTAAATTGTTGCAGATCTTGCTTGATCATCCTTTTATAGAAAAAAACAAACAGAGAAAGTAAACATCTTGAGCATTGAGAAGAAACATGTGATTAGGGATATTTCCTGAAGAAACATAGCAATCCAGCTACGTGTATATTATAAAATATTGTCTATACATTCTTCCCCGAAATCACCTGCTGACAGGTAGACTTCCGTTGTTGTGAATAAATAAAACAATCCAACACCATAGCTGTGTCGTAAACCATCTTTTCAATTACTAGTATAAAAAATTGATACTTTTGAACTGTGAAGATTTTTTTTTATTTATTTCGAAGAAAACAATGACTATACAAGAAAGCACTACTTTCTTCATGTAATTAAAGAGTAGGTCATTCTCCAGTAAATGGAACTCAATGAGCAGGAAACCAACTTAAAATATATACATGTACAATGAGATTGTTTGAAAATGAATTTGATCAGTGGTATGATAATGACAATAATACACACCCACACCCACCCACAATATATATATATATATATATATATATATATATATATATATATATATATATATATATCTGTGTGTCATGTCAAAATATCAATTTAAAAATTAATACGATGCGTATACGTTATATGCTTTACTTCGAAATAGAATACATTGTTGATTCTGAATAATGTAGGTCTCTGTACAACACACTTGTCTCCAATTTTTTAATATGTATATATTGTGTAATGTATTTCAATTCAAAATATATGTGGAGATATGCAAGCCCGACCTTTAGGGAGGCCACATAGAGCTCGCACGGCCGGTTTCCAAGTTCCCAGGGAACAAACCGCAGGAGAGCAAATAGGTAAACCACTAAAGGTCCATGAATCCTATTGAACCGGCTAATCCCAAAAATCGACATGCTCAACCGCATGCATTATATTTAAACTGCAATTAGCTGTTTGATTCTTTAAATTGCAGTACATGAGCTCCTAATTGTTTAACGTCCAAGTATTCTAGAATGCCGTTTTAATAATAAAAGTTGATATTTCTTGGCACCTCGCGTGCCCGCCAGCTTAAGAGGAACAATGCATGTCAATTTGGATTTATTTCAATGCATGCATTTGCTTATTCTGTTTTAATTTGTTTATCTATATGCCCAATTGGGTCTTCCAATTTCTAATTTTTTATTGCAATCCGTGAATTTTATATTTATTTTTTTTTTAAATCCGTGACAGCCAATGAAGGTAATCAAGATGGAATTCATTAATGTCAAAAACGTTGAACTAAATTTTGATTCAAATTCATGCAATACACCTTCATGTGTGACCTGAATATTGTACACTTTCTTCAAAGGCAAAGCACTTCTAGCCGTGTATAACTTGTTTGACATAAAATCACTTTCCTTAAATTTGTATTTTCTGTTGGATGCTAAAATTGCGTTCAGTTTCTTTTTCTTTCATTCAATTCACCTCTAGGTATATATATATATATATATATATATATATATATATATATATATATATATATATATATATATATATATATATATATATATATATATATATACATATTCCCAGAAAAAGATTTGTCCATTAGGTGTGCAAATGAAGTCAAAGTAAGAAAATTATCATGATAATATAAATAACTTTTATTTTGTACAAAAAATAAAACTTTTTTCGAACAAAAATTTAAGTATTTTATAAATATTTTACATTTTTCAAGTTTTTATCAACGTACATTTAACATATACATTTCAATATGAGCAATACATACAATTACGATTTTGCATTTGATAACAGAAAAAAATTGTTAAGATTTATTTTACAGAGTATGCATATTGAAAAAAAAAACTGTCAGTAATGCCAAGTAAAAAATATGGCAGTTTCTGTGTTAGTCTTGACATTGAACATTGAGGAGTCGTACTTCGTACGTTGTCGTTTCTACAATTAGTGGTGTTAATTGAGTGTAACATGTAAGTTACCCGGGATACCAGGATGTCCAGTTGTGCACAATTCGACTCCTTGACGGAGCGTTTCCGGATTGTTAGAAAACAACAGACATGGCAAGAACAACAATGCACACATAGACAAGTTTTGATTGCATACTCAAAGCCGTTTTTCAGTATACACAAAGAAAGAGAAAAATGTGTTGGGAGTACCCGTATCAAAATGAAGATATACAATCTATATGCTGCGTATATTTGTAAATGAAGGGACCATTAAGGCCCAGGTTTTACTGAATATCGTAATATGTGCCCTGTTTATAACATAACAATATACATACTGATCACAATAATAAATACATATACAGAGACAATTAACGATCGAGCACCTGTTGTGGTTATTGATTTAATTATCAAAAACTGTCAATTTAACGGCGCCAGTCCGAGCGCAAAATCTGACCGCCCAGAACCTGCACAAGATAGTGAGCCACTTATCACAATGATAAACAAAACCAATCAATTTATATGGTCATAAATTACACCTGTGTCGTAGATTTGTGTACAAGAACGATTTGCTGGGAAAGAAATGAAATAATCTTAATTAAAAACCAAGGCCCTTGAGATTACTTTCAAAGGGCAGAAACAATTAAATCAACTCGTAAGTCAATCACAGATTACCACAAATTTATATTAATAAGAATGAACAAAAAAGTAACAAGAAAAAATTAATATCATAAGGTTCATATAATCAGATAATATTAATTCTTAAAAAAATAACTGAAAATAATATTTTGTTTTGGTTTGGAATTGTAAAGCTGTGGTTACTTGTGGTTGTTAGTTTGTATAATCCTTGACTGAATTAAGGCTTCCATGGGAATGCTCTGGAGAGTTTCCAGCTAAGACAATGTTTCTTTTAACTCCTAAAGCATTCCAATGGATATAGACCAAACAGATATATTTCATATTTCCAAACAGATAGAAAATGCAATCGTTAGGAATCTAGAACATGAGCTTTAAACACTTTTGAGTGTTCTTTACCTGACCAGTCATGGATGACTGATTATATCGTGTCGATTACCTATAGCACACACCTGTCTTTTGTTTTTCGGTTATAACGGTACGTCTTTAATTATCTTCTAAAACTCTTAGCCGAAATACAGAATAAAACAGAAATATGTCAATTATTACTTTTGTATTCTATAATATTTGTTCTTATTTGTTCAAATGACAGACAAGTGCAAGGATCGGTAGGTAAAAAGGACAATAATGGGGTATAGAATACTAAGAACTAGGCCCCGTTTGGTTTTTACTCAATGGGACATTTGTCAGAGGTATTACAGTTGGAGAGTTGATAACAAAGATTAGTTACGGAATTTGGTTGAGCCACAAAATCCGCCTAATTAAGAGGATTACTTAGAGATCCCAATGCCACAGTATAATAACAGATTAGAAAAAAAGTATCTTTTAAAAAAGGACCAAAGAAGTTAAGAGTATTCTTGTTCAGTGGGAACCGTTACAAAACAAGTAGATAAACAAATTATTTACAAACATTGCACCTCTTTTGACACGTTAACATCGTGTCATTCAACAGTCTTATATAAAAAAAAAAAGTAATTTCAAAAATTCCTCTAGGCCATTTCATAGCACTTCATTGAAAAAAAGGTAAAGAAAAAATAGTTTACATTATCTTGCTTTATGTTTTGGTTTCTTATCGATTTAACTGAATTGACAGCAAAGATGTGCTATGTGACAAATTGGCCGGAGGAAATTAGACAATTACACTGTGTATTGTAACAAGTCATCAAGACATCAAACGAATCTCATCAAACCTGCCACATTACAAAAAGTCCTCACGAACTCATCGTAGACTCTGCTACCTTCCTGACTCAGCTGAACGCGTCTGTGTCCCGGCTACGACATGGCCCAACGTCAGACACGGACACCATGTCATACTGTTAGAACTCATGAGAGAGTTTGCCATAGTTGGTAAATCCCAGCAATTATGATGAGAATATAAGTTAAAGCATATAAGTTTGTCACTTGTACATTGAATTTACCCGCCGAATCCGATGTTCACCTCCACGAGGTGAGTAGATTTCAGAAGACTGCGGTGGTGTGTTCGTAGAAGTTGCTCTTTTCTTGTCAATGATGGCATATTCTGGCATATCTCTTGGGAACATGCTGACTGGCATGCTTGATGTCATATCCAGGGCTCTCCGCGTGATTTTTTCTCTCATGACTGCAACGTCATCGGCATCATAGTCCGCTGGCGGAATATCGAATTCAGCGCGTTTCCCGGTGTACACTGTACTATTGTCTTTTTCAATGAAGAATGAGGAAGAAGATCCGCTTCTATAGCTCTGGCTGCTGTAGGCGGAAGAGAAAGATGGCTGACGTAATAATGCTTGCCGATCATTCGTAATTTTGGGGCTTCTTGCCGATTGCGGAGGATAAACGAATTCCTCTCTGAAGCTTCTAGCACTTGAAGGAGGAGAGTTTTCTCGATCCTCGTCAAAATCGGAGTCAGGGAATTTCTTCTGTTCCTCTGAAGGCGATGGAGATTCTAATCCAATTCCACTTTCGTCCGAGACATTTCGACAACGAGGAGACGACCAAGGCATGTTACCGACAATACTAGCGTTCAAACATCTCCTGTTTTCCACGTTTTCCAGGTTTCCCTGTTTTCGTCGGATAGTGTCATAGTCTTTTGGTGGTAACAACAAAGGTTTTCCTTCCTTTAATGATACGTTTAGCTTAAGTTTGAGTTCGTCTGTAACAGATTCAAATGGCATCTGTTCATGAAGACTAATCAAATCAGGCTCGATTTCGTCTGAGGGGAAAGAGTTTGTGCTGCATGTGCTAGCAGCAGCGGAGTCCGGAGCTGAATCTGTTCTTGGTTCACTCATTCCGTCGGATGATCCGATTCCAGCGTCCCTAGGACTTGGTCGTGGTCGGTAAACATACGTAGTATTGATAGGATCTTCAAGCTCTCCACGGGCGATCAAAGTAAATTCTATCTGCTTCAGGCGGTCTTCACCCATTCCTATCACACTTTGCAGCATCCGGACATATTTGGAAGCCGTTTGTGCTGAATCAAATCTGTAGACGTGCACGTGTACGCTGCGTTTGGTCCTTGGAATATAGCCAAGGTAGATGCAGGCGACGATATCATCTGGTTGGCCTGTAACAGGGTGTCTGGCTTGTGATACATATGTAACATCCTCCACAGGAATGACGGGAAATTTAGTTGTTTTGGGTTTCTTTTTATTCTTATCGGGAACATCTTGGGAAACTTTAAGTTCGCTTTTACTGACCTGCACGGTAAGCTTTGGTGCGTTCCTCCATTTTTGGTGCTTCCTTCTCAGATCATCCACAACTGGACGTGTATATTTCTCCCCCATTAGTCCCCTGCTCTCAATCCATCCCAAGAACTCTACATAGAATTTCTGGCTCTTGTCCTTTTCCTTTCCCTTTCCTCCAAAGAATCGTGACATGGTTGATACTTTGATAGAAAATTTGTTAATTCCAAAATCGCTAATAGATTCCAATATTTTAAGTTATCTCAGATATATTTGTGAATGGAGACAGAAATGTTTCAAAGTTGCACGAGAATTATGTCACTTAAATCCGCATGTGCGCCCGCTTCACACCTGCTCTGTGCTCGTCAAATCGTAAACTGGAGCTTCGATCAAAACGTTTTTACAATTAAGTTACCTATACACTGGCGCGATTTGATATTGTTCCAAGTCTCGTAAATCGGTCTTTACAAATACTATATCAGTCATTTCTTGTGAATAAACTTTTTCCACTCCGATGGATTAGGGGGCGGGGCTACCTGTCGCTCCTTACTGATCACTTGCACAGGTAGCGAATACGCGGAATTTAGGTGAGAATTTCTGCACACAATCCCTGAAAAAGAAAAACACACAAATAATCGATAGGCATTCCTTTCACTCAGAAGAACAATTAGCCCAGGTTCCCATCTGATGCATTTCTACAAAAAGAACTTGATAACAGTGTGTGCGAAAAAAAAAAGCGCAAATACTTCAGTTTTATGACTATATGGTTTCAAATTTAGCAAAATATTTCATAATCACGTGAAAGTGACAGCACCGATATGGGATCATGACAAAATCTATATATTGTCGGGGTATTTTAGATGTAAACTTGTGTTTGTAAGACATTTTTTTTAATAATAAAATTTAAAAAAAAAAAAAGAGTATCCCATTTACTTCGTATAGATAATAAATGATTGATTTGCATTGGGATGGTATTACTGAATTAGGTCACTAGGATATCGATTTTATGTCACCTCCCTGGGTGAGATACGTAAACTTAGGTTTGCCAAAAATCCAGCACCTCCATGAATATGACGTCTTCTCAATCAAATTTATCGAATAACTACTAGCTAAAATCAAGTCCCATGAATGAATTATGGTTGGCATTGTACGTTCTACATATATACTTAAATACAGTTACATGTATATAAAAGAATATTATGGTGAACTGCATGTTGAACTACAGAAATTGAATTGAAAAATCTGGCAATATACTCATAAAGACATGGTTTGGATTTTTTAAAAGATATATTTCACCAGCAACTAGCTATCTTTAGTAAGAATGTATAGTTTATTAATTTTTCAACCATAAGTTGAAAACGATGCGACAAATTTTTAACCTCAGATTGAACACTTACACATGAAAAAAAAGAATGGTAAAATTAAGATCACCATGCTCTATTGACAGTAAACCCTGGTTAGAAAAGTACATTTATAAGCTAACCATTCTAGTCTTACTCTTCTTAAAACAATATCTATATGGTTATACATGAACACACATGTATATATAGACAGTGTCTCAGTCAATAGAGATCCCTAAAACAATATCTATATGGTTATACATGAACATACATGTATATATAGGCAGTATCGCAGTCAATGGAGATCCCAATATGGATGTTGAAAAGAGAATAGCAAAAACCCGTGCCATCTTTGCAAGCCTGCAGGACATCTGGAATAGTCAAAAATCAAAACCAAAATAAGGATTTTTAAGAAAAAATGTTATTGGAGTCGTCCTTTATGGTTATGAATCAACAAAAATCACACACAAAAAACTAGACATTTACCAAACAAGATGTCTCCGTAGAATACTATATAGATATTCTAACCAAACGAGATGCAGCAATCAAGAGTTCTATGAAAGAATACTCAGTAACAACTAATAAGGTGGATTACACCAGGAAAGCGAAATTGAGGGCGACCAAAGGAAACATGCCGGCGATCTATATGTACAAAAATGAAAACTATAGCAGCTTGTTACACAAGAAAGCTTGCAAAGTTTGTTGTGAAAGCCTATACAAACGAAGAAGTGATGTTTGTAAATGAATTACTTCTTAAAATAATTGTTATTACACATACACTCTACTGTTTCATTCTCAAGAGCCAAAGCAATTTAGTCACCGATTTACACAATGAACACAGGCGCGGAAACAGGAATTTTTTTCCGGGGAGGGGGTGTCCACCTCAGTCAAAAAAATTTCCAACCCAAAAATTTCCTGACTTGCAAAAAAAAAAAGTAAAAAAAATTCCATTTCCAAACGTGAAAAACACCTAATTCGTGGTGGCGATGGTTGGGACTCCCCCCGACCCCCCCCCCCCTCTAGATCCGCGCATGTGTACATACATAATTAGTCCGAGATTCTTTAAATCCTGGTGACTTATAGGCCCAAAGGGCCATCTGTAAAAGTAGTTATTTATATATCATTTAAGATGAATTATTAGTCCCCTACCGGCGAAACCGGAGGAGACTATAGGTTTCGTCTGAGTTTCTCCGTCCGTCCGTCTAGCTGTCTGTCTGTCAGTCTGTCCCACTTGGTTTTCCGCACTTTTTTCCTATATGCTTGCAGATATTGAGCTTTTTTAGGGGGGGGGGGCGGGTATGTGAGTGTATCTTTGGTATGTGACTTTACCTTGATTAGTTATAGATCAAGTTTGCATTTCGCTCAGCTTCCATGATTTTCGACGGAATTATGGCATTTTCAATTATTAACGGGAACCAGATTACACTTGCCGGTAGGGAACTAGCAATACTCTCAGAATGCTTGATTCATAATGCATTACGCAAGTCACTCTAATAAATAAATAAATAATTATTATTATTATTAAAGAGGAATTAAAGACCAGCGATGGACCTGGGGCATGGTAGAGCTGGTCCTCTGTACAGGCCTTATGTGCTCCAAGCACGAAAGTAACTATAAATAAATATGTATATTTTTACAAGCTTTTGTGATTTAGAAAAAAAACAAACCAAAAAACAAAACAAATACAAACGTCTTTTACTCGTGTGATGACGCACCTTCTTTGTAATGCCATCAAAGCAGATTTTTTTTTAGCTTTAACCCTTATATAACAGAACTATACATGTATAAGAAATGGCCAAGATGGGAACGGTTTTAATAATCTGTGTTATGTATACTGGCTATAAAATAGTTGAATGCTTCATTGGAACAATTATTTAAAACGATATCTCGATGCGTGATTTGGCTTTGATTTCCATTCAGTATATTAGGATAACGCAAAGAAGGGTTAGAAATTTAGCGCCAAGATAATAGACAACACATAAGACGATTGTTGTGGTTTTAATGTTATTCGAAGTAATCCAAACGTTCTTTCTGGTCAATGCACATCAAATTACAGCAAATACAGAATAACATCTTCTGACTCGTTCAGTTTTCAATCTTTCCTATAATGGCAATGTAAGTAAAACATTGTTATTTTACTTTTGTTACGGTATCAGCAAAAACGTCAGCAATAAGAAAGACTATCGGGGTATTATCTTAACCATTGGGGGATATCACGGTATTTAAAATAAGTTTTCATCCCTCTTGTAGTATTCTGACATTTCGGTTACCTATCGAGTTTATAATTCAATAATGATTTGATATTTAAAAAAAAAGTTTTTTTCCCAACCAAGAAAACAGAAAAAAATACACGAATATACTGTTTTTATTTTTTAAATGTCACAATAAACAAAGACTCTTATTGTAATGTATAGTTTGGAAGGGTATATATTGTACAAAATTTTCATCAACTTATACGACCCCCCCCCCCTTTAAAAAAAGAGCAGCTAGCGAGTTTATCAACTTTTAGAAATATACTGAAATAGCATACTTACATGTATTCACGTTACTTTTTGTTAAGATTTAGCCAACGGAAGTGCTTCTTGTTGGACGTGTTCAGTGAGGACCAGATTGATTCATGCTGAAATCACACATCCGTATCAATGACAGCGGTTTTCACGGGAACTCATCTGAGTGACAATAACGGGTAGGTTAGGGGCGACCTTAACAGGGTCATTTGTTTTGTCTGATACGAGACAGCTTAACAATGCCTTAATTACTGTTATTGTCGGGCTTTCACTTATTTACCAGCTGTGAAATTCAACATGTTCTTATAAACTGTGAGTGTTTGTGTAACATGCCGCAATTTTGAAAATTTGAAAGATTCTTTCAATCAAATTACAATCTATACTCAGTTTTGAAAACAGTAGATGAGCCCACCGACTTAAGTGCAATTAAAACTGTAAAAATGTTTACAGATAAGATTGAATGTGATGAAAACTTGGGTGTAACTTTTGCTTAGGTCAAGGCGTCACTACCAAGATCGTCCCTGAACTTGTTACAATTTCTCACATGCCTACTATTTTTAAATATTCAAACATTTAGCAAATCATGGACCAAAGTATTAGTGTTCAAAAATGGAGTTCCTTAATCAAACATTGAGAACTGTTGCCCGGTGTCAATATTTGTCCTCTTCAATTTAATTAGGGCTATTGGAGACTAGTTCTTGTTAAGGTCGACATTCTTTTGACGCAGGTTCTAAAGGAATCAAACCAGATATGGTCTATGAATGACGCGCGGTTCTTTATAAAATGATAAGTCGGGTATCCGTTTCAATTAAATAGTTGTTATTCTTGTCAACAACCCTTTTTTTTATTTGGTTGATAGATTTTTCGTAAGAATTTCACAGGTACTTGATAATGTTACAATAGAAAACAAACATTTCCTTCACACATTGTTTGTCGAGAGCAACCAAAAAATTAAAAAATATACCAACAGATTAAGACTATCAACCAAGTAGGTAGAAGAACACCAAGAGTTATATGACCAAAACAAACACCTGAAACGAAAATGGACTGAAAATCTGTCTGTGCAAGACTGCCGTACGTAAATGTAAGGAAACGCAATGCAGTGAAAAGCTATATACAATCTAAAGAGAGAGAAGAATATCTTTAAGAAGCAATAACTGCAGAACAACATGTACTTTTTAAAAATGAAGTTAGTTTGATTTTTTTAATGCACCCGATATCGAAGATTTGGGGAATATAATTTTTGGTCTGTCTGTCTAGCTGTCTGTCCACAAAAAAAATTAACCTCGCCAATATCTTCTGAACGGTAAGTGCTAGGACTTTCATACATGTACATGTATTTCACATGTGCATTCCTTGTGAAAAGACCTTTCTTTGGGAACCAACATATCTGACCTCTTGACCTTTATCTTGGAGACACTTTTGCAAAATTTTCCCAAACTTTTGCAAGGTTGGTGCTAGGGCTTTCATATTTCACTTGTGAATATTCATTTGTGATCTCACGACATTGACCTTGGAGATTGACCTACTTTTAACCTTGGCCATACCTTTTAAATTCTAGGAATTTCATATGAAATTGTATCTATCTATCTTGTGTGTATATATATATATATATATATATATATATATATATATATATATATATATATATATATATTGAGACAAGACCTTTCTTTTAGATACAAAAATTTTTGACCTTGGAGTTTGACATACTTAGGAAAAACTTTAACCTTGTCCATAACTTTTGAACGGTTTGTGCTAGAGCTTTCACAATTTATGTGTATTTGTAAAAAAAAATTCTTTTTGTAACAATTT